GGAATTTTTATTGGAATTTTTATGTCTCATGTAAATCGAAATATTCCTTTTTCTAAACCCAAGTCTAAAAATGATAAGAAGTCACCCAGACTATCTGGATAACGAATTCGATTCTACGTACAATAAATCGAAAAAATAAATTATACTGCTATATATCTAAATTAACTGATCAAACACGGATCCAGTATACTAATTATAAGAATAAACTTACATGAGTGATACGTACTGCTAAAAAAGAGTATTATCATGATCAATTCAGTCGTTGCAAAAATGATCTTAAAAGAACATGGAAGATCATCAATTCTACCATCAACATTGGATCAAAGCATTTTAAGATTACTAAGCTTAGACATAATGATGCAATAGTTGAGGATGAAGTTCAGTTGGCAGATATTTTAAACAATTATTTTTCTCAAGTTGGTTTTAATCTTGCTAGGCACATACTATCCACGAACCGTTCATTTCACTACTATTTGGGGGAGAGAAATGAAAGTTCTAAATTTTCTTTCCTACGTACCCAAAAGAGATAATTAAGATTATATCTGGCCTAAAAAATAAATAAGAGTGCAGTATTTGATGAAATTGATAACAACCTTTTACAGAAAACTATGAATTATATTGTTGATCCTCTCGTTTATTTATTTAATTAGTAATTTTATCTGGACATATTCCAGAATCAATGAAAATTTTGAAAATAATCCCAATTTTCAAAAAGGGTGACAGTACATTACCAAGTAATTATAGATCAATCTCATTGCTTACAACCTTGTCTAAAATCCTTGAAAAGTTGGTCCACATACGGACCATGAGTTTCTTTAAAAAGCACAACATCCTCTCTGATACTCAATTTGGCTTCCGAGAAAAGAGTAGCACTACCCATGCCATATAGTTCAAACAGTCGCCAAAGCTATCGATAAGTCTTCTAATACGGTTGGTTTGTTCATAGATTTTTCTAAAGCATTTGATACTGTTGATCATAATGTCCTTCTTTACAAACTTTCTCACTATGGAATAAGGGGAAAACCGTTGACGTGGTTCAAGAATTATCTTAAAGGGCGCTCCCAGTTTGTTTCGCTGAATGGTAATTTCTCTGAAAGTAAACCTGTCCTTTGTGGAGTTCCGCATGGAAGTATTCTTGGCCCATTTTTGTTTATTATTTATATAAACGACATTGAGAGAGCATCTTGTCTGCTTCAATTTATATTTTTTGCTGACGAGTCAATTATTTTTTTTTGTCACATCGCGATCCAGAGCAATTGACGCAAATACTAAATAACGAACTTAAAGGTGTGGCAAATTGGATAAAAGCAAACAAACTGTCACTTAACTTAGACAAAACTAGTTGCATGCAATTTAGTAATAAGGTTGCAACTTTGCCTAATTGTATAATTTTTTATGGTACTGTCATTCAAAGGGCCCGATCAACTTAATTTGTGGGGCTAGTTATTAATGAAAAACTATCTTGGAAAGCGCACACTGACAATATCTGCAAAATCATTGCTCACAACACTGGTATCCTTAGCAAATTAAGACACTTCCTATCCCATTATATTATGTTATCCTTGTATTCTACGCTTATTCTTCCTTACCTGAATTACAGACTTATTGCCTGGGGCAGTGCAGCAACCTCCCATATTGATAGACTATTTATATAACAAAGAAGAGCGATTCGTATTATCAATAATGCAGATTTCGGGGCACACACGAATAATCATTTCTGAATAATAATATTTTGAAAATGAAAGACTTGTATATTTTTCAGCTTGGACAGTTAATGTACAAGCTCAACACTAAACAATTACCTTTGCCTTTTAATGATATGTTCATAAGAAATGATTCGATTCATAGTTACCTCACTCGCCAGGCGAGCTCTTTTCATCTACCATTAAATAGAACATCTTTTGCACAAAAGACATTTGTTTTTACAGGTCCAAAACTGTGGAATTCTCTTTCAAATGATATTATACAGTGTAATTCGATACAAATTTTCAAAAGGAGACTTAAAAGCTTTCTTCTGAATAGTTACTAGGCTATTGCATTCCCCAATCAAATATTATTTGTAGTGTGACTTTATGCAACTTTGATTGTTTCTTTTTTTAAACATGTATGTATTTAATAATTTTTTGCGTTCAGAAGTGATTTTTTTTGTATTACTGAATCAGTTATTGTTATTGTTGTTTTTTTTCTTCTCATAAAATAATAATTCATAATAATTACTTTTACAGGGGGGCTTACACCCTACAAGCTCTGCTTTTTAGTCGGCCCTCCTTCCCTTTCAATTTCATGTTTATTTTGTTAATATATTGTATTGTGCAAATTGATCTATATGTATATAAATATGTGAATATGTTAAAATATACCATCATTGTAAATATGAACGATTGAAAGAGGAAAAATAAATGAATTGAATTGAATTGATGGGGGCAATGTAGTTTAGGGCATGGTGTGGATTAAAATATAATGCAGGCTATTGGTTGAGTGATACATATATAAGATCTGGATCAAGGTGGTAGTCATGATTTGTAGTCTGAATCATGAAGATAATGAATTGTGGAGTTCGGAATTTGCACCCATCCCCATTCTGTGACCACCATCTCACACACTCTCTCTCTCTCTCTCTCCTAGAACAATTTTTTTTTCGCAAAGCAATATTCATGTAGAACATTCATTTTTTATCCTTCTTCTCCGTACCTCGGGCATAAAAATAATTGTTTTGTATAATACATTATTGAACCAGATTGTGTAAGATAATACAAGACCCGGATTAAAATACACAAAATGAAGAAAACTAGTAATCCTTATGTATATATTCGCCCTAATACGCAAAATAATATGCCCGGTCGCGACTCGCATAATTATATTGCACAGAATCTCTTAATATTATGCCCCAATATATATATATATATATATATATATATATATATATATATATATATATATTATTGTTGTTGTTTTTTGCGGGGGGGGGGAGGGGTGGGGAATAGCATTTTTAAATGGTTCCAAATTTGACATCAAAATATTAATTGAATTTCTGAAATCTTATATTTGGGTTACTTTGCTAAATTATTCGACTGAATGTCTTCACAGTTTTCGTTAATTTTGTTTACCACTTAATGAGGAATGAATACAAAAAAGCACCTATCAATGTTCAAAATGCGAAGCCCTACTACTACTATCTACAGCCGGTCGCCTTGCTCACTTGCTTGCTCAGTTATGTAGCTAAATTTGGGCAGAGGGGGTAGGGGTGGGGGGCGGGGGCGGGGTGGGTCGCAGTCTCATTGAATACTATTGGCGCATTAATCCATATATGAAACTTCTGATCCACACCAAGAACTATGTACATGTTTCAGACTGCAAATCATGTCTGTCACTTGGAAAGATGATCCTCCCACCTAAAATTATTTAAGCGAATTGTAAAAAGTGGACAAGGGAAATTCATGAGAAAAATTCAAGTGAGATTTCTTTCACAAATGCCTACAGCTATTAATGACCAGATACCACAATAAAGTGCAGACGAAAGAGACAGACATCTCATTTCATACGTTTTTATCGATTATAAAATATATATATTCACCTCGACGTGGAAATAAATAAGTGAAATGAACTGATTTTGATCAGTTCTAATGTTATGTATCAGTATGACTGAAAGCCTAATTTGGTATGTGGGAACACATTTATATTGGTTGGCAGGCATATTATTAACATATAAACCGGAACTAAGAGAGACATATTACAATATTATGAAACTGCATCACCTGACGTCATATTTCCTATCGAAATATTCATCTCCTCAATGATAGCCTCTATTCGCAATACATTCTATTTTTCATCTAATTATATTACCGTTGCTAAGGAGTAGACAGCCTAGATCAACCAACATTTCCATTTTAGCTCATATCAAAGTTTCATCTTTCGAGCACTATAAAAGTTTTCAATAATAATAATAATAATAGCCTAATAGTCCACTCCAAATTTTATTAAACTGAAACGGAAATTCTTTTTGCCCAATTGACCGTGAGCCCGGCAGCCACTGAGCAGCGCCAGATCGACGTTGCTCTATCCTTTATTGTTGAACGCCAAACAAGGTAGCAACAACTCCCTTTTTGGTATGACGCGGCCGGGGTTCGAACCCACGACCTCCCGGTTGTGAGGCGGACGCTCTACTGACTGAGCCAACACTCCGGTGCAAAACAATGAAATTGACATTTAAATACAAAATTCGAACATATTTATGGACAGTTTTTGCAAGAAGTTCCAAGTAAGAAGTCGTCATATTTGTATGAAGATGGAGAAATAGATATTTTGGGGGCAATTTATATTTTTTTTTAAAAAATGGTTAAAAAATTCATTTTTTTTGCTCAACATTTTTATGCAAATCATCCGTACACCTGTAAATTGTGTCATCATTTTGTATGCAATTTAACTCGTTTTCATATGACAAACATGATAAAATGAGGTTATTTTAAGATATAATCTTTATATAGTTCAACAGAAATTTTAGAAAATGGTCGCCATTCCTTTTTTCCATCAGCATGTTTTCCTGGTAGTCCACTTAGAAACTGTGCAGACAGGTTGATACTCACCAACCTTTTACAGCATTCCATGTATCAAAAACCTGCTTTGCCCCCTAGTTAGATATGTACAATTCCCTGCCCGATCCCCTAAATTAAACGACAGTCTCCACTAAAAAAAAATAGTGTTTTCGCTATATTGAATTAAAGTTTTACCAGATTTGCTGGAAAAACTCCGAGATTTAATAGCCAAAAAAACCTTGATAGAATACCAATGACTGATGTGACAGACTCAACAATTATGTTACGTTAGTGATACATGTATGTGCTGTACAAGTAACCGTAATCTTGATGATAATCATGATCATCATCATTATCGTTATCACCATTATCGGTATTACCATTTTCATCCGTATCAATATCATCATAATTTTGTTCAGTTGTTGTTATTGTTGATTTAAACAATATTATATGTCTTTCTAAATACAGGCTAAAGGCCCAAAGATAGGTGTGTTTTGGAAGTTGCTGTTTGGTACCGTGACCTGTCTGTCCTTCGGTAAGTATTATTTTGGCATATTTATATGATTTCACGAATGATGCTGAAAAATAATTGGTTTTTCGAAATTACCATAATGAGGCAAAATAGCCGTGAAGTGTAAAACCTACGTTAGTCTGCAAGGACAGACTGTAATTTGACACTTTATCACATTTCATGAAGCCTTGGGAAGAGCCTATATCTCCATGGTCCTGGCTGTGTAAAAAAAAAAAAAATTACTGAACCATTTGTATAGTTACATTATGCAGATACTATTACACAACTATTGAAAAGGGTTTGTGCCCTCAAACTAGACATCCGGGGCATCTCAAACAAAAAAAATCACATTATTAAAAAGTCTCCCTAATAAATGTTTCAAAATATATAAAGATAAACTGCATTCCCAAGACGGAGGAGAGGGAGGAAGGGAAGGAGGAAAAGGAGGAGGATTCGGCTAGAGGAGGATTATATGAGGATGAGTTGGAGATGAAGAATGGTGAGGGGCAGAGGAGGATAAGGAGGAAAGGGAGTAAGAGGAGGGGAGAGAAGTAGCAGGGCGTGTAGGAGGAGGAAGAGGAGGGGGAGGTAGAGGATAAATGAAGGAGGAGGAGAGGTAGGAAAAGTAGGAGACAGATGGAGAAAAGGCGCAGGAGGAGGGAGAGAACAAAGAACTAGCAATTAATTGTCTAATATCTTCTTCACAGCCCTGCCTGTGTTATCGGATAGGTCCAAGATGGCGAAGACAACTTGTCCAGACTGGTACGGCCTAAATTACACTTTGCCCATGTTCAAAAAGTGTGAGATGAAGCGACTCCAAGATGGCAGCATGGTGCAGAGCATCCCCAAGCTCATTCCTTTCCCTTCTGTCATCGGCGGGTGCCACCAGAGGAAGAGTAAAGAAGGGATCCCGGGTGGGCATAGAATATGCAGAATCCCGTGTAGGTTTCATTCCTTTTTTAATTTTGATCTCAAATGTATTTCTTTGTTTATTTAATAAATCTATATAATACGTTCTTCAATGATATCATTAGGGCCTTTTCGTTTGTGAAGACGGGGGCGCTGTTTCCTTCCTCTAACGATACGAATTGGCTACAGTCAATCCGTCCTGTTCATTACTTTACAACCCGTTTGTATGTAATCGAAGCCCGTTCTCTACACGATGATTTAATGCTCCCCCCCCCCCCCCCTCCGCGCTTATTGCAATGACGACCTTCGTCATTGCCTTGTTTTCGTTCACATTCTGCCCCATTAATATTCTTGTTTTCCTGGTTATCGTCCGGAAATCCTATTCGTTTTGCACACAGTGCTTGTTATTCCTAGTTAGGTGCTTTCCTCATGTCCTTTTCCTTTCAAATTTCATAGGCATAGTCTCTAACATCTCATCAAGGTCACTACATTCTTCGATTTTCGAAATCACTCATGCATAACCGTCCAGGCGCCATTTTGTCCGTTTCTGGTCCATTTTAAGGCCTTTCTTTCTTCCTTCCTATCTCCATTATCCTAGATCCTACAAATTTCTAACAAATTCCTCTAGATAGTCTGAGAGATGTTCTTTCATCTGCGACGTATGACTTGACCTTCAAAATGCCATCTTCGTACTCAAAATTCAAATCTGAAACCGACTCCGTCAAAAATCTCTCCAGTTCTTGAAAAATGGACCCCTAAATAATCTAAAACTGCCATAACTTTCTCATATGAATTCCGTTTTGTATTTAAATCTCACAGTATCTTTATCTCATAATTGCACATAGCCATGCCAAATTTCACGCTCCAATGGCTTTGCAAAACATAAATAGCGCCCTCTAAAGTTCTGGGAATTGGCTGTCTTTCTGTGGCCGTATCTCCATTATGGCTTGGCAAATCCGTACCCTTTTTTGGATTTAGATACTTGAAGATATGCCCTTTCAAGCCATAAACAAAATTATATACCCTAACACTGACCGACTTTGAGAAAAATGCCCTCCAAATTCGCCATTTTCAAGAAAATTCCAAAATAACTTAAACTTGCTCTAAAATGGCGATCTTGATACCTACATCAATGAAACTTGGCACACATATGTATCCATATACGTGACAACTGTCTGCCAAGTTAAATATATTGTAATGCCCTCGTCGCAAAGTTATCGCCAAAAATGATGAATTTACTATGCATTACGTAATAGCGCGTTTAATGCTTGTAATACATTGCGCGCAGATAACAATGGTGTCAAACTAACTGCAATGAAGTGCCCTTTTGCATGATACCAAGTATAGTATATGTTCACACAGAAAATTGTGAGTAAATCGCATTTGAGCAAAGGTCACTATACAAATTCCGCCGAGTTTCCGCCCGAATCTAACACGTATCGGCTATGACGTCATTTTTTCAGACTGCTTTTCGCCCCTTAAACGTCCTTTTTTTTTCTTGAAAATTTGCAGTGACATGCCGAGTTCCAATACGCAGGGCACCTCTTGGCCGGATTTTTTAAATTGGTCAAGGGGGCCATTTAAGACGCCATTTTGTCCTATAAATCTATTTTACATCACGTGTTTCGATAGGATTATCATAGAAAAAAAGAGAGTGGTTTACAATAACAACCATGAAATTCTCTTTCTAATGATACCAAATACGGCCCATAAAGAGACATAAAGAGAGAGAGAAAAAACCATTTAACTCCGGTCATAATACAGATCCTGTACGTTTTCCGCCCATTCATTACACGCATTGTCTATGGGGCATATCGGGTTCACGCTTTTGGCCCCCAGAACGATGTTTATTGCAATGACGAACATGCACCAAATCCCCTTGGTTTTTGCACGCAGTGCTTGCGAGCCCTTTCTAGGTTCTTTCCCCTATCCCAATTTCTTTCAAACTTCGTAGGCATAGTACCATCCCATCAAGGTCACTGTTGAGGCCTTTCTTTCGCCCACCTATCTCCAATATCACAGAAGCTACAGACTTCGTGCAAATTGCTCTGGATAGTCCGAGAGAAGCTCTTTTGTTTGACACGTAGAAACATGGCGTCATTGCACGCACATCGTTGTGACACGATTGCATTTCTAGTTCAATTTCATCTTCTTTCACTTCATTTGTTTCTATCCTTCGTCATGTTATTCTTTGTTTTCTTTCTCTGTTTTTTTTATGTTATCCTTTGTTTTTCGGACCTTTCATCTTTTCTTCTATCTTTTCATTACTACTCTTTATCATTTTCTCTTTTTGTCTTTCTTTATATTATCCTTTTTTTCCTTCTATCACCTTTTCTTTCTGTCTTTCCTATGCTTTTTTTCTTCCTTCCACCACCTTCGCTTATGTTATGCTTTGTTTTTTTGTATCAATCTACCACTTTCTCTTTCTGTCTTTCCTTATGTTATTCTTTATTTCTTCCTTTTAACACCCTCTCTTACATGTATGTTATGCTTTGTTTTTATCAATCTATCATTTTCTCTTTCTGTATTTTCTTATGTTATTAGTTGTGCCTTCCTTCTATTACCTGCTCCAATGACATTCTTTGTTTTTATCATTCTATCACCTTCTCGTTCTTCTTTCCGTATGTTATTCTTTGTTTCTTCCTATTATCAACTTCTCTTATGATAATCTTTGTTTTTATCATTCTATCACCTTCTCTTTCCGTCTTTCCTCATGTTATTTTTTTGTTTCTTCCTTCTGTTACATTCTCTTTCTGTCTTTCCTTTCTGATTTACGCTGCGATATAGCAAGATGATTTTTACCAATGACCGGATATTAGTATAGATATATTGACTGCTATGGGAGGCATCGCTGTTTATATAGGCTCAAGGGGACGTTACATCCTGATATGACCCCGAGGCGCGTCAAAGGGGTCATATCAGGGTGTATAACGACCCCGAGAGCCATTATAGAAACAGCTAAGATTCGAATATTAAAGCAGTCGATGTATCTTTTATATAACAAATTTTATATACCGAATTCATCACCGAAAATCTGAGACACCGTCTGTGGATCTTCGCTAGAAAGTTGACTGAATGTTAAGATCATTCGGGAACTGCACACACACACTGCACTGTATTTTGTATCCGCACTCACACTCAAAATGAGGATCTCAGCAAAATGTATTAATGCGGCCCGTTACACGGGCCAATGGTCATCTTTAACAAAATCATAGACCGGTACGTAGGCGGGCATGCGGGCATCTTTTAAAAAGCTATTGACCGTGTACGCTCTCAACCAATCATTTAATTAGGATCCGCTTCATAATCTTACAAATAATACCAGCACATCTTTAAAGGGTATCCGGTCACCTACCCCTGGACATCCACCCCCGGATAACCATCCCAGTTAACTACCCCCTAGGACAACTACCCCCTGGACATCCACCCCTAGGGCAACTACCCTCTAGGACGACTACCCCCGGGACAACTACCCCCGGACAACGATCCCTGGACAACTACCCCCTAGGACAACTACCCCATGGACAATGACCCCCGGTAAACTACCCCTTAGGACAACTTAGCCCGAAAAGTACCCCCAGACAACTACCCCTTACGACATCCACCCTCTAGGACAACTACGCCCCGGACAACCATCCTAGAAGGTAGTTGTCCAGAAGGGGCACGGACACCCATGGGAAATGCATTAACATTAGTCTTGCTTATCTTTTACATATTAATTTGTCAAAAGTCCGAAAATATACCCCTTTTTTTGCAGATTGTGTCAAAGATCTCTGTACAAACGGCTGGTGTGAGGAGACTATGGTAGGCTACGACTGTCACTGCTCGAGTGGGTTTCAAGGGAGACACTGCGATGAACGTAAGTGTTATATCATTGGCGTATCATGGGGGGGGGGGGAGGGGTGGCTAATTAATGAACAAAGAGCATGATGAGACTTTCTACAGGGGGTAATTTTTTATTTGTGTTACTTGCACGCAGTTTGTTGTATCTTTTATCAGACATTGTACATGAATTCTGCACTGCACTTCACCAGTACGACAAGACATGCCGGTGGCTGGTACTGCAACTGAAGAATAATAAGAATAATAATAAGGAGGAAAAAATGATGATGACTACGAAGAAAATACCTCATGGTCCTCTTTCGGAATTTCTTGATAGAATTGGGATTCCCACAGGAAAAGCATTTTCCGATATCTCCCCACCCCTCGTTGATCCTGTCCCTGTATGCTGACCAAGGGCGCCTGGAGACAGTCGATGGGAAAATAATTTCAGAGGAAATAATGTTATGCTTCGTCATTTACCTATTTTTTTTCTTTTTCCAGAGGTCACCGTGTCAACGGAGGAAGCATCGACCAAGGCCACGACGAGCCATACGACCATAATGTCGGAACGCCCAGACGCAACGACTACTCAAAACACCACTACATCGAGTATGTCTAAGCAATAAAAACTCTTCTCTCTTTGTTTTTACCTGACTCTACTTTTCTTAGTCTGTCACGGTCGTCGCTAAAACACTTTTTTAAGACGGCAGTGCCCGTATTTTGTTTTTTGCATACAAACTGACAATAAACGAGCTACATCAGATATATATTTATTTCAAAATCTCGTCCACCTAGACATATATTACTAGAAACATGCATTTGATCATTATCAAAATCGTTACCACGAAATTGTGTATAGCCACTATCCCTATCTATCTCTCCCTCTCTCTCTCTGTCTCTCTGTCTCTCTCTCTCTCTCTCTCTCTCTCTCTCTCTCTCTGTATCAGTCTTGATCTGACTTTTGTTTTGTCCTTTCCTATTCCGTGCATCGCTAACAATTTTTTTTGGTCAGACACAACGACAACTTATTCAAGCAACCTCCACCATTGATGACACAATTTTTGTTTACCTTATAACAGAAGTGAGCTGTAAAAGTTTATATATTTTCATGGAGCTAAATTTTTCACGTTTGTGCCTTCTAATCCTTCTAATCACATTAATTTGTACGTGTTGTTTCATTTGTTATAACCCTGAACAATCAGCTACATGTATATCATAATCAACTAGCTCAGTTTTGTTTGTTATAATGTTTCAGAGTCAACTAAATTATCGACTACGGACGCGACGACTAAGCCCACGACGAACCCTACGACGATGATGTCAGACACAACGCCATCGCAAGAAACCCCCGACACCAGTAAGTAAGAGAAACATTGAACTGATTTCATTCCTTCGATTATTATTATAACGTGCCGCTTCCACTCCCCCTCTCTCTATCTCTCTCTCTCTCTCTCTCTCTCTCTCTTTGACTTTACCTCCCTCCCTCACACCTTCCCCTGCCGAACCCCCTCCACCCCTCTCCCCCTTTCTTCCTCCTTCTCTCTATTAGTCTCTACCTGACTCTCTTTTTCTTTACCCTTTGCTTACAGGGCAATTGATGAAACTTCTTTTTAGAGAGGGGGTGGGGAGGAGTATCCGCCTTTATTTTAAGAACGCGAGTTTAGGGAAAACAAACACGCCGCAGGAACATATATAGATACTTTATGTGACAAAAAGTCTCTTGGGCTTGGCTGACACAAATTATACCTTATAAAAGAAATAAACTGTTAAAATGTATGTTTTCATTTTCTATAACCCTGAACCATCATCTTTATCATGGCCATTTAACTCAGTTATGTTTGTTAAAATCGTTTCAGAGTCAAGTGAATCATCGACTAAGGACGCGACCACCAAGCCCATGACGAGCCCTACGACAACGATTTCAAACACAACGGCATATGAAGAAACAACCATCTCCAGTAAGTAAGAGAAAACAATGAAATAACCTCTTGCAATTAATCCTTTTCAATACGTGTCTAGCCACTTCCCCTCCCCCTTCTATTACTCTCTCTTTCTCCCCCCCCCCCCCTTCCTCTCTCTTTCTCAATTTCTGTTTTAGTCCTTATCTGACTGTTTTGTGTCCTTTCCTATTACGGACGTTGCTAAAACAGTTTTGTATAAGGGGGGAAGTGCTCGTCTTATTATTATTTCTGTTTACTTTTCAACAGAAATGAGCTGTCAAAGTTTATATATTTTCCTGGAGCTAAATTGTCCACGTGTGTGCTTTTGTACATTCCTAATCACATTGATTTGTACGTGTCGGTTCATTTGTTATATTAAACCATCAATCATCAACTTCATCATGATCACTTACCTCAGTTATGATTTTTTTAACATTTCAGAGTCAACAGAAGCATTGACTACGGACGCGACTACCAAGCCCGGGATGGGCCCTACGACCACGATGTCAGACACAACGTCATCGCAAGAAACCTCCACCACCAGTAAGTAAGAAAAACAATGAAATGACGTTATGCCTTCGATCTTTGTTATAATGTGCCACTACCACTTCCCCCACCCTCTCTCTCTCTCTCTCTCTCTCTCTTTGTCTCTCCCTCTCCCTGTCACACATTTCCCCTGCCGAACCCCCTCCACCCCTCTCTCCCTTTCTTCCTCCTTCTCTCTATTAGTCTCTACCTGACTCTCTTTTTCTTTACCCTTTGCTTACAGGGCAATTGATGAAACTTCTTTTTAGAGAGGGGGTGGGGGTATTATATGTCTTTTTTTAAGAACGCGAGTTTAAGGACAACAAACACGCCACAGGAACATAGTTAGATACATTATGTGACAAAAAAGTCCCTTGGGCTTTGACAAAACACCACTAAATCTAAAAATATGCGGACACAAATAATACCTTTTAAAAGAAATAAACTATTAAAATTGATGTTTTCATTTTTTATAGCCCTGAACCATCAACTCTATTATGATCATTTTGATAACTCTGTTATGTTTGTTAAAATCGTTTCAGAGTCAAGTGCATCATCGACTTCGGACGGGACGACCAAACCCATGACGAGCCCTAAGACAACGATGTCAGACACATCCACATCACAAGAAACCACCACCTCCAGTAAGTAAGAGAAATGATGAAATAACCTCTTGCATTTAATCCTTTTCATTACGTGTCTAGCCACTTCCCTCCCCCTTCTATCACTCTCTCTTTCTCCCCCTCCCTCTCTCTTTCTCAATCTCTGTCTTAGTCTTTATCTGACTGTTTTGTGTCCTTTCCTATTACGGACGTTGCTAAAACAGTTTTGTATAAGGGGGGAAGTGCTCGTCTTATTATTATTTCTGTTTACTTTTCGACAGAAATGAGCTGTCAAAGTTTATATATTTTCCTGGAGCTAAATTGTCCACGTGTGTGCTTTTGTACATTCCTAATCACATTGATTTGTACGTGTCGGTTCATTTGTTATATTAAACCATCAATCATCAACTTCATCATGATCACTTACCTCAGTTATGATTTTTTTAACATTTCAGAGTCAACAGAAGCATTGACTACGGACGCGACTACCAAGCCCGGGATGGGCCCTACGACCACGATGTCAGACACAACGTCATCGCAAGAAACCTCCACCACCAGTAAGTAAGAAAAACAATGAAATGACGTTATGCCTTCGATCTTTGTTATAATGTGCCACTACCACTTCCCCCACCCTCTCTCTCTCTCTCTCTCTCTCTCTCTCTCTCTCTCTCTTTGTCTCTCCCTCTCCCTGTCACACATTTCCCCTGCCGAACCCCCTCCACCCCTCTCTCCCTTTCTTCCTCCTTCTCTCTATTAGTCTCTACCTGACTCTCTTTTTCTTTACCCTTTGCTTACAGGGCAATTGATGAAACTTCTTTTTAGAGAGGGGGTGGGGGTATTATATGTCTTTTTTTAAGAACGCGAGTTTAAGGACAACAAACACGCCACAGGAACATAGTTAGATACATTATGTGACAAAAAAGTCCCTTGGGCTTTGACAAAACACCACTAAATCTAAAAATATGCGGACACAAATAATACCTTTTAAAAGAAATAAACTATTAAAATTGATGTTTTCATTTTTTATAACCCTGAAACATCAACTCTATTATGATCATTTTGATAACTCTGTTATGTTTGTTAAAATCGTTTCAGAGTCAAGTGCATCATCGACTTCGGACGGGACGACCAAACCCATGACGAGCCCTAAGACAACGATGTCAGACACATCCACATCACAAGAAACCACCACCTCCAGTAAGTAAGAGAAATGATGAAGTGACATCTTGCATTTAATCCTTTTCATTACGTGTCTAGCCACTTCCCCTCCCCCTTCTATCACTCTCTCTTTCCCCCCCCCTCCCTCTCTCTTTCTCAATCTCTGTTTTAGTCCTTATCTGACTGTTTTGTGTCCTTTCCTATTACGGACGTTGCTAAAACAGTTTTGTATGAGGGGGGAAGTGCTCGTCTTATTATTATTTCTGTTTACTTTTCGACAGAAATGAGCTGTCAAAGTTTATATATTTTCCTGGAGCAAAATTGTCCACGTGTGTGCTTTTGTACATTCCTAATCACATTGATTTGTACGTGTCGGTTCATTTGTTATATTAAACCATCAATCATCAACTTCATCATGATCACTTACCTCAGTTATGATTTTTTTAACATTTCAGAGTCAACAGAAGCATTGACTACGGACGCGACTACCAAGCCCGGGATGGGCCCTACGACCACGATGTCAGACACAACGTCATCGCAAGAAACCTCCACCACCAGTAAGTAAGAAAAACAATGAAATGACGTTATGCCTTCGATCTTTGTTATAATGTGCCACTACCACTTCCCCCACCCTCTCTCTCTCTCTCTCTCTCTCTCTTTGTCTCTCCCTCTCCCTGTCACACATTTCCCCTGCCGAACCCCCTCCACCCCTCTCTCCCTTTCTTCCTCCTTCTCTCTATTAGTCTCTACCTGACTCTCTTTTTCTTTACCCTTTGCTTACAGGGCAATTGATGAAACTTCTTTTTAGAGAGGGGGTGGGGGTATTATATGTCTTTTTTTAAGAACGCGAGTTTAAGGACAACAAACACGCCACAGGAACATAGTTAGATACATTATGTGACAAAAAAGTCCCTTGGGCTTTGACAAAACACCACTAAATCTAAAAATATGCGGACACAAATAATACCTTTTAAAAGAAATAAACTATTAAAATTGATGTTTTCATTTTTTATAACCCTGAACCATCAACTCTATTATGATCATTTTGATAACTCTGTTATGTTTGTTAAAATCGTTTCAGATTCAAGTGCATCATCGACTTCGGACGGGACGACCAAACCCATGACGAGCCCTAAGACAACGATGTCAGACACATCCACATCACAAGAAACCACCACCTCCAGTAAGTAAGAGAAATGATGAAATAACCTCTTGCATTTAATCCTTTTCATTACGTGTCTAGCCACTTCCCTCCCCCTTCTATCACTCTCTCTTTCTCCCCCTCCCTCTCTCTTTCTCAATCTCTGTCTTAGTCTTTATCTGACTGTTTTGTGTCCTTTCCTATTACGGACGTTGCTAAAACAGTTTTGTATAAGGGGGGAAGTGCTCGTCTTATTATTATTTCTGTTTACTTTTCGACAGAAATGAGCTGTCAAAGTTTATATATTTTCCTGGAGCTAAATTGCCCACGTGTGTGCTTTTGTACATTCCTAATCACATTGATTTGTACGTGTCGGTTCATTTGTTATATTAAACCATCAATCATCAACTTCATCATGATCACTTACCTCAGTTATGATTTTTTTAACATTTCAGAGTCAACAGAAGCATTGACTACGGACGCGACTACCAAGCCCGGGATGGGCCCTACGACCACGATGTCAGACACAACGTCATCACAAGAAACCTCCACCACCAGTAAGTAAGAAAAACAATGAAATGACGTTATGCCTTCGATCTTTGTTATAATGTGCCACTACCACTTCCCCCACCCTCTCTCTCTCTCTCTCTCTCTCTCTCTCTCTCTCTCTTTGTCTCTCCCTCTCCCTGTCACACATTTCCCCTGCCGAACCCCCTCCACCCCTCTCTCCCTTTCTTCCTCCTTCTCTCTATTAGTCTCTACCTGACTCTCTTTTTCTTTACCCTTTGCTTACAGGGCAATTGATGAAACTTCTTTTTAGAGAGGGGGTGGGGGTATTATATGTCTTTTTTTAAGAACGCGAGTTTAAGGACAACAAACACGCCACAGGAACATAGTTAGATACATTATGTGACAAAAAAGTCCCTTGGGCTTTGACAAAACACCACTAAATCTAAAAATATGCGGACACAAATAATACCTTTTAAAAGAAATAAACTATTAAAATTGATGTTTTCATTTTTTATAACCCTGAACCATCAACTCTATTATGATCATTTTGATAACTCTGTTATGTTTGTTAAAATCGTTTCAGAGTCAAGTGCATCATCGACTTCGGACGGGACGACCAAACCCATGACGAGCCCTAAGACAACGATGTCAGACACATCCACATCACAAGAAACCACCACCTCCAGTAAGTAAGAGAAATGATGAAGTGACATCTTGCATTTAATCCTTTTCATTACGTGTCTAGCCACTTCCCCTCCCCCTTCTATCACTCTCTCTTTCCCCCCCCCCCCTCCCTCTCTCTTTCTCAATCTCTGTTTTAGTCCTTATCTGACTGTTTTGTGTCCTTTCCTATTACGGACGTTGCTAAAACAGTTTTGTATAAGGGGGGAAGTGCTCGTCTTATTATTATTTCTGTTTACTTTTCGACAGAAATGAGCTGTCAAAGTTTATATATTTTCCTGGAGCAAAATTGTCCACGTGTGTGCTTTTGTACATTCCTAATCACATTGATTTGTACGTGTCGGTTCATTTGTTATATTAAACCATCAATCATCAACTTCATCATGATCACTTACCTCAGTTATGATTTTTTTAACATTTCAGAGTCAACAGAAGCATTGACTACGGACGCGACTACCAAGCCCGGGATGGGCCCTACGACCACGATGTCAGACACAACGTCATCGCAAGAAACCTCCACCACCAGTAAGTAAGAAAAACAATGAAATGACGTTATGCCTTCGATCTTTGTTATAATGTGCCACTACCACTTCCCCCACCCTCTCTCTCTCTCTCTCTCTCTCTCTCTCTCTCTCTCTCTCTCTTTGTCTCTCCCTCTCCCTGTCACACATTTCCCCTGCCGAACCCCCTCCACCCCTCTCTCCCTTTCTTCCTCCTTCTCTCTATTAGTCTCTACCTGACTCTCTTTTTCTTTACCCTTTGCTTACAGGGCAATTGATGAAACTTCTTTTTAGAGAGGGGGTGGGGGTATTATATGTCTTTTTTTAAGAACGCGAGTTTAAGGACAACAAACACGCCACAGGAACATAGTTAGATACATTATGTGACAAAAAAGTCCCTTGGGCTTTGACAAAACACCACTAAATCTAAAAATATGCGGACACAAATAATACCTTTTAAAAGAAATAAACTATTAAAATTGATGTTTTCATTTTTTATAACCCTGAACCATCAACTCTATTATGATCATTTTGATAACTCTGTTATGTTTGTTAAAATCGTTTCAGATTCAAGTGCATCATCGACTTCGGACGGGACGACCAAACCCATGACGAGCCCTACGACAACGATTTCAAACACAACGGCATATGAAGAAACAACCATCTCCAGTAAGTAAGAGAAAACAATGAAATAACCTCTTGCAATTAACCTTTTCAATACGTGTCTAGCCACTTCCCCTCCCCCTTCTATTACTCTCTCTTTCTCCCCCCCCCCCCTTCCTCTCTCTTTCTCAATTTCTGTTTTAGTCCTTATCTGACTGTTTTGTGTCCTTTCCTATTACGGACGTTGCTAAAACAGTTTTGTATAAGGGGGGAAGTGCTCGTCTTATTATTATTTCTGTTTACTTTTCAACAGAAATGAGCTGTCAAAGTTTATATATTTTCCTGGAGCTAAATTGTCCACGTGTGTGCTTTTGTACATTCCTAATCACATTGATTTGTACGTGTCGGTTCATTTGTTATATTAAACCATCAATCATCAACTTCATCATGATCACTTACCTCAGTTATGATTTTTTTAACATTTCAGAGTCAACAGAAGCATTGACTACGGACGCGACTACCAAGCCCGGGATGGGCCCTACGACCACGATGTCAGACACAACGTCATCGCAAGAAACCTCCACCACCAGTAAGTAAGAAAAACAATGAAATGACGTTATGCCTTCGATCTTTGTTATAATGTGCCACTACCACTTCCCCCACCCTCTCTCTCTCTCTCTCTCTCTCTCTCTCTCTCTCTCTCTCTCTCTCTTTGTCTCTCCCTCTCCCTGTCACACATTTCCCCTGCCGAACCCCCTCCACCCCTCTCTCCCTTTCTTCCTCCTTCTCTCTATTAGTCTCTACCTGACTCTCTTTTTCTTTACCCTTTGCTTACAGGGCAATTGATGAAACTTCTTTTTGGAGAGGGGGTGGGGGTATTATATGTCTTTTTTTAAGAACGCGAGTTTAAGGACAACAAACACGCCACAGGAACATAGTTAGATACATTATGTGACAAAAAAGTCCCTTGGGCTTTGACAAAACACCACTAAATCTAAAAATATGCGGACACAAATAATACCTTTTAAAAGAAATAAACTATTAAAATTGATGTTTTCATTTTTTATAACCCTGAACCATCAACTCTATTATGATCATTTTGATAACTCTGTTATGTTTGTTAAAATCGTTTCAGATTCAAGTGCATCATCGACTTCGGACGGGACGACCAAACCCATGACGAGCCCTACGACAACGATTTCAAACACAACGGCATATGAAGAAACAACCATCTCCAGTAAGTAAGAGAAAACAATGAAATAACCTCTTGCAATTAATCCTTTTCAATACGTGTCTAGCCACTTCCCCTCCCCCTTCTATTACTCTCTCTTTCTCCCCCCCCCCCTTCCTCTCTCTTTCTCAATTTCTGTTTTAGTCCTTATCTGACTGTTTTGTGTCCTTTCCTATTACGGACGTTGCTAAAACAGTTTTGTATAAGGGGGGAAGTGCTCGTCTTATTATTATTTCTGTTTACTTTTCAACAGAAATGAGCTGTCAAAGTTTATATATTTTCCTGGAGCTAAATTGTCCACGTGTGTGCTTTTGTACATTCCTAATCACATTGATTTGTACGTGTCGGTTCATTTGTTATATTAAACCATCAATCATCAACTTCATCATGATCACTTACCTCAGTTATGATTTTTTTAACATTTCAGAGTCAACAGAAGCATTGACTACGGACGCGACTACCAAGCCCGGGATGGGCCCTACGACCACGATGTCAGACACAACGTCATCGCAAGAAACCTCCACCACCAGTAAGTAAGAAAAACAATGAAATGACGTTATGCCTTCGATCTTTGTTATAATGTGCCACTACCACTTCCCCCACCCTCTCTCTCTCTCTCTCTCTCTCTCTTTGTCTCTCCCTCTCCCTGTCACACATTTCCCCTGCCGAACCCCCTCCACCCCTCTCTCCCTTTCTTCCTCCATCTCTCTATTAGTCTCTACCTGACTCTCTTTTTCTTTACCCTTTGCTTACAGGGCAATTGATGAAACTTCTTTTTAGAGAGGGGGTGGGGGTATTATATGTCTTTTTTTAAGAACGCGAGTTTAAGGACAACAAACACGCCACAGGAACATAGTTAGATACATTATGTGACAAAAAAGTCCCTTGGGCTTTGACAAAACACCACTAAATCTAAAAATATGCGGACACAAATAATACCTTTTAAAAGAAATAAACTATTAAAATTGATGTTTTCATTTTTTATAACCCTGAACCATCAACTCTATTATGATCATTTTGATAACTCTGTTATGTTTGTTAAAATCGTTTCAGATTCAAGTGCATCATCGACTTCGGACGGGACGACCAAACCCATGACGAGCCCTACGACAACGATTTCAAACACAACGGCATATGAAGAAACAACCATCTCCAGTAAGTAAGAGAAAACAATGAAATAACCTCTTGCAATTAACCTTTTCAATACGTGTCTAGCCACTTCCCCTCCCCCTTCTATTACTCTCTCTTTCTCCCCCCCCCCCCTTCCTCTCTCTTTCTCAATTTCTGTTTTAGTCCTTATCTGACTGTTTTGTGTCCTTTCCTATTACGGACGTTGCTAAAACAGTTTTGTATAAGGGGGGAAGTGCTCGTCTTATTATTATTTCTGTTTACTTTTCAACAGAAATGAGCTGTCAAAGTTTATATATTTTCCTGGAGCTAAATTGTCCACGTGTGTGCTTTTGTACATTCCTAATCACATTGATTTGTACGTGTCGGTTCATTTGTTATATTAAACCATCAATCATCAACTTCATCATGATCACTTACCTCAGTTATGATTTTTTTAACATTTCAGAGTCAACAGAAGCATTGACTACGGACGCGACTACCAAGCCCGGGATGGGCCCTACGACCACGATGTCAGACACAACGTCATCGCAAGAAACCTCCACCACCAGTAAGTAAGAAAAACAATGAAATGACGTTATGCCTTCGATCTTTGTTATAATGTGCCACTACCACTTCCCCCACCCTCTCTCTCTCTCTCTCTCTCTCTCTTTGTCTCTCCCTCTCCCTGTCACACATTTCCCCTGCCGAACCCCCTCCACCCCTCTCTCCCTTTCTTCCTCCTTCTCTCTATTAGTCTCTACCTGACTCTCTTTTTCTTTACCCTTTGCTTACAGGGCAATTGATGAAACTTCTTTTTGGAGAGGGGGTGGGGGTATTATATGTCTTTTTTTAAGAACGCGAGTTTAAGGACAACAAACACGCCACAGGAACATAGTTAGATACATTATGTGACAAAAAAGTCCCTTGGGCTTTGACAAAACACCACTAAATCTAAAAATATGCGGACACAAATAATACCTTTTAAAAGAAATAAACTATTAAAATTGATGTTTTCATTTTTTATAACCCTGAACCATCAACTCTATTATGATCATTTTGATAACTCTGTTATGTTTGTTAAAATCGTTTCAGATTCAAGTGCATCATCGACTTCGGACGGGACGACCAAACCCATGACGAGCCCTACGACAACGATTTCAAACACAACGGCATATGAAGAAACAACCATCTCCAGTAAGTAAGAGAAAACAATGAAATAACCTCTTGCAATTAATCCTTTTCAATACGTGTCTAGCCACTTCCCCTCCCCCTTCTATTACTCTCTCTTTCTCCCCCCCCCCTTCCTCTCTCTTTCTCAATTTCTGTTTTAGTCCTTATCTGACTGTTTTGTGTCCTTTCCTATTACGGACGTTGCTAAAACAGTTTTGTATAAGGGGGGAAGTGCTCGTCTTATTATTATTTCTGTTTACTTTTCAACAGAAATGAGCTGTCAAAGTTTATATATTTTCCTGGAGCTAAATTGTCCACGTGTGTGCTTTTGTACATTCCTAATCACATTGATTTGTACGTGTCGGTTCATTTGTTATATTAAACCATCAATCATCAACTTCATCATGATCACTTACCTCAGTTATGATTTTTTTAACATTTCAGAGTCAACAGAAGCATTGACTACGGACGCGACTACCAAGCCCGGGATGGGCCCTACGACCACGATGTCAGACACAACGTCATCGCAAGAAACCTCCACCACCAGTAAGTAAGAAAAACAATGAAATGACGTTATGCCTTCGATCTTTGTTATAATGTGCCACTACCACTTCCCCCACCCTCTCTCTCTCTCTCTCTCTCTCTCTTTGTCTCTCCCTCTCCCTGTCACACATTTCCCCTGCCGAACCCCCTCCACCCCTCTCTCCCTTTCTTCCTCCTTCTCTCTATTAGTCTCTACCTGACTCTCTTTTTCTTTACCCTTTGCTTACAGGGCAATTGATGAAACTTCTTTTTAGAGAGGGGGTGGGGGTATTATATGTCTTTTTTTAAGAACGCGAGTTTAAGGACAACAAACACGCCACAGGAACATAGTTAGATACATTATGTGACAAAAAAGTCCCTTGGGCTTTGACAAAACACCACTAAATCTAAAAATATGCGGACACAAATAATACCTTTTAAAAGAAATAAACTATTAAAATTGATGTTTTCATTTTTTATAACCCTGAACCATCAACTCTATTATGATCATTTTGATAACTCTGTTATGTTTGTTAAAATCGTTTCAGATTCAAGTGCATCATCGACTTCGGACGGGACGACCAAACCCATGACGAGCCCTACGACAACGATTTCAAACACAACGGCATATGAAGAAACAACCATCTCCAGTAAGTAAGAGAAAACAATGAAATAACCTCTTGCAATTAACCTTTTCAATACGTGTCTAGCCACTTCCCCTCCCCCTTCTATTACTCTCTCTTTCTCCCCCCCCCCTTCCTCTCTCTTTCTCAATTTCTGTTTTAGTCCTTATCTGACTGTTTTGTGTCCTTTCCTATTACGGACGTTGCTAAAACAGTTTTGTATAAGGGGGGAAGTGCTCGTCTTATTATTATTTCTGTTTACTTTTCAACAGAAATGAGCTGTCAAAGTTTATATATTTTCCTGGAGCTAAATTGTCCACGTGTGTGCTTTTGTACATTCCTAATCACATTGATTTGTACGTGTCGGTTCATTTGTTATATTAAACCATCAATCATCAACTTCATCATGATCACTTACCTCAGTTATGATTTTTTTAACATTTCAGAGTCAACAGAAGCATTGACTACGGACGCGACTACCAAGCCCGGGATGGGCCCTACGACCACGATGTCAGACACAACGTCATCGCAAGAAACCTCCACCACCAGTAAGTAAGAAAAACAATGAAATGACGTTATGCCTTCGATCTTTGTTATAATGTGCCACTACCACTTCCCCCACCCTCTCTCTCTCTCTCTCTCTCTCTCTCTCTCTCTCTCTCTCTCTCTTTGTCTCTCCCTCTCCCTGTCACACATTTCCCCTGCCGAACCCCCTCCACCCCTCTCTCCCTTTCTTCCTCCTTCTCTCTATTAGTCTCTACCTGACTCTCTTTTTCTTTACCCTTTGCTTACAGGGCAATTGATGAAACTTCTTTTTGGAGAGGGGGTGGGGGTATAATATGTCTTTTTTTAAGAACGCGAGTTTAAGGACAACAAACACGCCACAGGAACATAGTTAGATACATTATGTGACAAAAAAGTCCCTTGGGCTTTGACAAAACACCACTAAATCTAAAAATATGCGGACACAAATAATACCTTTTAAAAGAAATAAACTATTAAAATTGATGTTTTCATTTTTTATAACCCTGAACCATCAACTCTATTATGATCATTTTGATAACTCTGTTATGTTTGTTAAAATCGTTTCAGATTCAAGTGCATCATCGACTTCGGACGGGACGACCAAACCCATGACGAGCCCTAAGACAACGATGTCAGACACATCCACATCACAAGAAACCACCACCTCCAGTAAGTAAGAGAAATGATGAAATAACCTCTTGCATTTAATCCTTTTCATTACGTGTCTAGCCACTTCCCTCCCCCTTCTATCACTCTCTCTTTCTCCCCCTCCCTCTCTCTTTCTCAATCTCTGTCTTAGTCCTTATCTGACTGTTTTGTGTCCTTTCCTATTACGGACGTTGCTAAAACAGTTTTGTATAAGGGGGGAAGTGCTCGTCTTATTATTATTTCTGTTTACTTTTCAACAGAAATGAGCTGTCAAAGTTTATATATTTTCCTGGAGCTAAATTGTCCACGTGTGTGCTTTTGTACATTCCTAATCACATTGATTTGTACGTGTCGGTTCATTTGTTATATTAAACCATCAATCATCAACTTCATCATGATCACTTACCTCAGTTATGATTTTTTTAACATTTCAGAGTCAACAGAAGCATTGACTACGGACGCGACTACCAAGCCCGGGATGGGCCCTACGACCACGATGTCAGACACAACGTCATCGCAAGAAACCTCCACCACCAGTAAGTAAGAAAAACAATGAAATGACGTTATGCCTTCGATCTTTGTTATAATGTGCCACTACCACTTCCCCCACCCTCTCTCTCTCTCTCTCTCTCTCTCTCTCTTTGTCTCTCCCTCTCCCTGTCACACATTTCCCCTGCCGAAACCCCTCCACCCCTCTCTCCCTTTCTTCCTCCTTCTCTCTATTAGTCTCTACCTGACTCTCTTTTTCTTTACCCTTTGCTTACAGGGCAATTGATGAAACTTCTTTTTAGAGAGGGGGTGGGGGTATAATATGTCTTTTTTTAAGAACGCGAGTTTAAGGACAACAAACACGCCACAGGAACATAGTTAGATACATTATGTGACAAAAAAGTCCCTTGGGCTTTGACAAAACACCACTAAATCTAAAAATATGCGGACACAAATAATACCTTTTAAAAGAAATAAACTATTAAAATTGATGTTTTCATTTTTTATAACCCTGAACCATCAACTCTATTATGATCATTTTGATAACTCTGTTATGTTTGTTAAAATCGTTTCAGAGTCAAGTGCATCATCGACTTCGAACGGGACGACCAAACCCATGACGAGCCCTAAGACAACGATGTCAGACACATCCACATCACAAGAAACCACCACCTCCAGTAAGTAAGAGAAATGATGAAGTGACATCTTGCATTTAATCCTTTTCATTACGTGTCTAGCCACTTCCCCTCCCCCTTCTATCACTCTCTCTTTCTCCCCCCCCCCCCTCCCTCTCTCTTTCTCAATCTCTGTTTTAGTCCTTATCTGACTGTTTTGTGTCCTTTCCTATTACGGACGTTGCTAAAACAGTTTTGTATAAGGGGGGAAGTGCTCGTCTTATTATTATTTATGTTTACTTTTCAACAAAAATGAGCTGTCAAAGTTTATATATTTTCCTGGAGCTAAATTGTCCACGTGTGTGCTTTTGTACATTCCTAATCACATTGATTTGTACGTGTCGGTTCATTTGTTATATTAAACCCTCAACCATTGACTTTATCATGATCAATTAGCTCAGTTATGTTTGTTTTAACGTTTCAGAGTCAACAGAATCATCGACTACGGAATCGACTACCAAGCCCGGGATGGGCCCTACGACAACGATGTCAGACACAACATCATCGCAAGAAACCTCCACCATCAGTAAGTAAGAAAAACAATGAAATGACGTCATGACTTCGATCTTTGTTATAATGTGCCACTACCACTTCCCCCACCCTCTCTCTCTCTCTCTCTCTCTCTCTCTCTCTCTCTCTTTGTCTCTCCCTCTCCCTGTCACACATTTCCCCTGCCGAACCCCCTCCACCCCTCTCTCCCTTTCTTCCTCCTTCTCTCTATTAGTCTCTACCTGACTCTCTTTTTCTTTACCCTTTGCTTACAGGGCAATTGATGAAACTTCTTTTTAGGGAGGGGGTGGGGGTATTATATTTCTTTTGTTTTTAAAACGCGAGTTTAAGGACAACAAACACGCCACAGGAACATAGTTAGATACATTATGTGACAAAAAAGTCCCTTGGGCTTTGACAAAACACCACTAAATCTAAAAATATGCGGACACAAATTATACCTTTTAAAATAAATAAACTGTTAACATTTATGTTTTCATTTTTTATAACCCTGAACCACCAATTATATCATGATCATTTTGATATAGTCCGGCAGCCATCTCGATATACCTTGTTTTAGGGTCTATAGTTTTTTTTTCTTCGGATTATAGTTCCTTAGACCATCAATTTGAAGAATTCGATTGCTGTCAGCATTGAGCAATTTGAGATATGTGACGTCATACAAAATGGCCGCCAAAATCCCCTTTTTAACCAAAATTAATGATATAAAAAGTTTTAACAGAATTTACTACATTAAATGGCAGTCAAATATCTTGATTTTTTTCTAGAATCATCACTAAATAAAAATTGCGATGTTGTATGATCACAAATGATATGCAAATTTGCAAAATTCGGAATGGCGCCCTCTATAGACACATTAACTTGAATAGTTCAAAATGATGGCCAAATACCAATTTCTAACATGAGATTATCATATGTCATGAGTCAGATGCACTGGATACAGTGAGTAAAAATTGTGCTGCACATTTATTTTTATTTTGTAATTTGATACTCGAAGAAAACATGGTTGAATTTTATGCTCTCTGTCCCATAGATATGAGGTGGCATATGGTGATAAATGCCCATTTTCAGTGACAGCGTTAAGAAACTAGATTTGTATTCTAAGGTACTAGATTCTTTTAAATTAACCTTAAAATTACGAACTACCAATACGAAACAGGACTATATCCGTTTATAAGTTTGCTTCAAAATCTTGAAATTTGTTTAAAAGCCCTCTAAAGTGTTGGGAACCCTAAAATATTCCATGCGGAAGAGGGTGTCATTTAACACTTAATTCTGCAAAATGAGGTTGTGACTGTAATGCGTGCTTCCACACGCATGTTTGCAAATGAGCTCTCTTAACATTTTCTACAAACGCTTCATTAGTTTGAGGTAGTGAGGCAAGGTTTGGGGGTATTTGGAGCTCCTAGTCTTCGGACCCTTGATAGCCACACGATGATACGAGCCTGACATTCAGTTGGTTGTTGATTGTCCATAACATGAAGCAAAGCATTGAGTAGGTTGAGTGATGACATATGACCATGCTGCATCAACATTGCCAACTGAGTCCTAAGGGAGTCGAATCTTCTGCTTCATCACTTTCAGCATTGTACCCCAAATTATGCCCCAAGAGTGTCGCATCCCGTCAACGCATGTCCTGCCAACATCGATGGAATGATATCTCCTAACTTGTCTACATTGGCAAGAACATCAATAACAGTTCGATTTGTGAAGGAGCGTCTCCATGGTCATTGGCGTTTTATAAGTCCGTCATGTAGATAATGATGCAAAAGTAGTACGTAGACGTCTGTGTCATCCACTAGGACCCTAACATACATCTTCTCATTAGCATCAATTCAAATCGCTTGCTGTACTTTGATGTTGCCTGCTTCATCATAACTATGTTGTGGACAGACCTTTCCTTGGCATGACATCACTGCTTGGAATCACTTCAACAGGAACCTCACCTTGACGGTAAAGGCCTGCTTGTGCTTTTGCCTATTTCTGAGCACCCAATCATCCTGCAGACTCGCGCATATAATTATGATGTCGATCAACTGTAGTTTGTTGTCATGAAAAGATAGTGAAGTTAACAACACTAAAGACACGTTTCAACAACTTCTCTCCCTAGCTTTATTGATCTTTCCAAAGCTTTTGACTGCGTACAACATAAACGCCTATGGAGGATTATTAGCTAGATGGGCTTTTCAGCACATATTATTCAACTCATTCAGTCGCTCTACCAATACCAAGAAGCAACAGTAAGAACAGAGAATGGCTACACCGAAAGGTTCACTATTGGTCAAGTTGTCCGTCAAGGCTGCATCCTATCACCATAACTTTTCAACATCTATGCTGAATTCATCATGAGAAAGGCATTTTATGGTCAAGTTTCTGTTGGTGGACGAACGATCACCAACCTAAGATACACCGACAATACAACACTCTCAGGCGTATTGATGGGGAAGGGTTGGGGACAGTTGAACCCCCAAACAAAATTCAAAATGTTTTTTCTATATATTCGATACCAGTGATTTACAAATGTTGCTGAAATGACATGATTTTCCTGGGTTTTTTCTCACTTTTTAGTAAATTATTATTTGTTAAGCGTATTTTGGAAAATGACAAATCCTAAATTCACAGTCAAGCAAAAACTATGCCCATTTAAAAGCCTACATGCCAGGGTCCGCAGAACAGCGGGGCTCAGGGGACTCGAGCCCCCCTCACTTTTTGTATAAAGTATGTTAAAGAGAACTAGAAAGAAAGATGTGAAATGAGGTATCAAAATATGTTCATCTTACAGTTAATAAATGCCTGAAACCCTTGAGCTTCCGGGGGCTGTGCCCCTTGAACACCACGCCAATTTGTGTTCCTCTCTTCCTGATCGTAGATACTTCACCCCCCACCCCGCTTTTAAAAAAGTTCTGCGGGGCCTGCATGTAACATATATGAGTGGTGGGGATGCAGATTGTTTTTCTGCCCCTCTAAGTGTTTTTGCTCAGTATGCCACTGACAACACTTATAACAAGAACATCGGAAGAACTACTAGAACTCCTTAAAAAAAAGAGTGAAGTATGCAAGTGAATAATTTGGACCCTACCTCAATGTGAAAAAAAAACCAAGATCATGATTGGTGGAAATTAACTACATGCAACAGAGCATGGTGGTTGATGGAGAAGAAGTTGATCAAGTGGACAAGTTTATATAATGTTCTTGGGTCAATGATTGTCAAGGAGGGTGGAAGCTCGGCAATATCTGCCTTTGAAATGTGGTGTTGGAGGAAGCTACTTGGGATATCATGAAGAGATTACAACACCAACGGACACAATTAATGTCCATCATCGGAGATCAACCGCCACTTGCTACCAGGATTGACGGTACAATCTACAATAGTTTGGTCACGTTAGCAGAAGATCAGGAGACAACCTTGACAAATTATCATTCAAGGTACCTTTGAAGGAACACGTAACAAAGGAAGACTCAAGCTCAGGTGGACTGACGACCTTCGGGAAATCACTAGCCACCCTCTAAATACTAAAGACACTCTACCGGATTGCAGGAGACAGATGCCGATCAAAAGGTCTCATCAAACGGGTCACAAGGGCGAGCCATGATCTATATGACAACGACGACGACAAACAGTAAGAGATAGTTTCTTGGAGGGCAGCAGTGACGCGGGACTCAGTTGGAAGACTCTCGACCCGTTATGACCTCTAGATACTCTCGGATCTGTCAAACACCAAGCAAACATCACCAGATTTTCATCTACAGCAGAGCACAACCATCAATGACTGTACAAGGTTGTTCCAGTGTCTCATGCTTGGCTGACATCTCAACTTTTGTCAAATTCTATAAGTCCGTCTTTGACATGGGAGTGCTCGTTTCCAGAATCATCAACAAGTACTGTTGGGACTGCTGAAAGCTCTTATGACAAAATGTCCTTGACATTGACCTCTCTTGAACTTGTCTGCAGTCCTATTACTCTGGAGTAGATCAACTTTTCATAGACTTTCGTACCCCAACATTGACTTCTTCATGGCTGCCACGGTTTGAACTTTCTTGGAAATTGTGTCATAGAATCCACCAGGTAATTTCTTTTGAAAATCATGCATCTGTCTAGTATAGATGTCAACTGCTTTATCCACATTCACTGACGTTGGAGCAATGCTGGTCTAAATAAAGCCTATCAATTGAATAATAATGTGTGACGTAAAACCTCTTCTCACCGATTTGATGAAAAATGAATTCTTTCATAGCCATTTTTTTCTTAACATATGTAGGGTAGGTGTAGGGAATTGGAGACTACCAAGCTTGAACTCATCACTGTCTGTCCGTGTTGGCGCCAATATTGATATAGCGACATTTGTGGCCTTTAACAACACTACTGCATTTATTCAATTCATTTCGAAGACTACAATGCGTTCTCTCTCCGAGAAAATTGGCAAAATTGACCAAGCTAAGCAATTTTGATCGTAAAATTTTGCTCTGATATAAAAACACAATTTTCACTGAATGTTGTGGTGTATGCAGATATTTAGGGGTGGCTCTTAAAAATTAGTTTTAAAAGGAAGTTTATGAAATGTGCCAACCATCACAGAAAGCTTATGACCATTGTGTGTTGTGAATGGGTGTTGCAATTCACATTATGAATGGTGTCTGATCAGAAATGTGTGTAGGTAATTGGGGACACCAGGTCTAAGATGCGGGCCTACTTCTCCCGAGTTGTCCATTTCATGTTGAAAGGCACTATCATGAAACATATTTGGTTGTACGTGTCACCATTCTAATTTGAATGCATTTAATTTTAAGAAGTTGTTTCTATGCTGTGAGTTTGATCAATGTAAAAGTCATATTGCCAGAACATTATTCTGAAAGTATTTTAACATAATTGAGAGCACCTTTATTACTGTAAACAAAAAAAACTACAGAAATATTTTGGGCCACATTGTTTTAAAATCGTTTCAAAATTACAGTAAGTTCATTGGCTCCATGTATCTCTTTCAAAAAGTGTTTGAACTATAACAATCCCATTTTCATTCAAATTGTATTTAAAATGTCTTGATTTGTAACTGTCCCTTATTACCTACACATGTAGGTAATGAGAGACCTTTGGTAATGACGTCATTAAGGGTCTGCTTAAGGGTCTTCCATTCTCCACACCTACCCTATCTAAATTTATACCAAACACGATGAAAGATTAATGCAGCACAACTGCAATTGTTGCCCCCCAAAAGCATTTAATATGATTTCAACGTGACATAGATTTAAGAAATTGGCATTTGGCTGGCACACATATTTTATTCAAATTAATAGGTTTATAGAGGGCGCTTTTTCAAAATATGCGAATAAGCTGGTCATCTATGGCCTTGCAACATCACAAAACATTTTGTTAGTGATGGTCCCAGAGAGATACAGACATTTGGCTCCCAAAAATTGTAGAAAAAAAATCCTTATTATATATTTATTATTCATTTTTAAAGGAAAATCATGTACTTTGGCGGCCGTTTTGTATGACGTCATATATCTTTAATTGCTCAAGGCTGACAGAGTGTCAGCAATCGGATTCTTGAAATAGAAGGTCTAAGCAATCAAAATCCATTGAAAAAAAATCTATAGACCCTAAAACAAGGTTAGGCCAATAATCTGGATTTGGCTGCCAGACTAATAACTCTGTTATGTTTGTCAAAATCGTTTCAGAGTCAAGTGAATCATCGACTTCGGACGGGACGACCAAACCCATGACGAGCCCTAAGACAAAGATGTCAGACACATCCACATCACAAGAAACCAGCACCTCCAGTAATTAAGAGAAATGATGAAGTGACATTTTGCATTTAATCCTTTTCATTACGTGTCTAGCCACTTCCCCTCCCCCTTCTATCACTCTCTCTTTCTCTCCCTCCCCTCCCTCTCTCTTTGTCAATCTCTGTCTTAGTCTTAATCTGACTGTTTTGTGTCCTTTCTTATTACGGACGTTGCTAAAACATGTTTGTATAAGGGGGAAGTGCTCGTCTTATTATTATTTTTGTTTACCTTACAACAGAAATGAGCTGTAAAAGTTTATATATTTTCCTGGAGCTAAATTGTCCACGTTTGTGCCTTTGTACATTCCTAATCAAATTGATTTGTACGTGTGGGTTCATTTGTTATATTAAACCCTCAACCATTAACTTTATCCTGATCAATTAGCTCAGTTATGTTTGTTTTAACGTTTCAGAGTCAACAGAATCATCGACTACGGAATCGACTACCAAGCCCGGGATGGGCCCTACGACAACGATGTCAGACACAACATCATCGCAAGAAACCTCCACCACCAGTAAGTAAGAAAAACAATGAAATGACGTCATGACTTCGATCTTTGTTATAATGTGCCACTACCACTTCCCCCCACCCTCTCTCTCTCTCTCTCTCTCTCTCTGTTTCGTCTCTCCCTCCTCCTCTCACACATTTCCCCTGCCGAAACCCCTCCACCCCTCTCTCCCTTTCTTCCTCCCTCTCTCTATTAGTCTCTACCTGACTCTCTTTTTCTTTACCCTTTGCTTACAGGGCAATTGATGAAACTTCTTTTTAGAGAGGGGGTGGGGGTATTATATGTCTTTTTTTTAAGAACGCGAGTTTAAGGACAACAAACACGCCACAGGAACATAGTTAGATACATTATGTGACAAAAAAGTCCCTTGGGCTTTGACAAAACACCACTAAATCTTAAAATATGCGGACACAAATTATACCTTTTAAAAGAAATAAACTGTTAAAAATTATGTTTTCATTTTTTATAACCCTGAACCATCAACTATATCATAATCATTTTGATAACTCTGTTATGTTTGTTAAAATCGTTTCAGAGTCAAGTGAATCATCGACTTCGGACGGGACGACCAAACCCATGACGAGCCCTAAGACAACGATGTCAGACACATCCACATCACAAGAAACCACCACCTCCAGTAAGTAAGAGAAATGATGAAATAACCTCTTGCATTTAATCCTTTTCATTACGTGTCTAGCCACTTCCCTCCCCCTTCTATCACTCTCTCTTTCTCCCCCTCCCTCTCTCTTTCTCAATCTCTGTCTTAGTCTTTATCTGACTGTTTTGTGTCCTTTCCTATTACGGACGTTGCTAAAACATTTTTGTATAAGGGGGGTAGTGCTCGTCTTATTATAATTTTTGTTTACCTTATAACAGAAATGAGCTGTAAAAGTTTATATATTTTCCTGGAGCTAAATTGTCCACGTTTGTGCCTTTGTACATTCCTAATCACATTGATTTGTACGTGTGGGTTCATTTGTTATATTAAACGCTCAACCATTAACTTTATCATGATCAATTAGCTCAGTTATGTTTGTTTTAACGTTTCAGAGTCAACAGAATCATCAACTACGGAATCGACTACCAAGCCCAGGATGGGCCCTACGACAACGATGTCAGACACAACATCATCGCAAGAAACCTCCACCACCAGTAAGTAAGAAAAACAATGAAATGACGTCATGACTTCGATCATTGTTATAATGTGCCACCACCACTCCCTCCTCTCTCTCCCTCTCTCTGTCTCTGTCTCTGTCTCTGTCTCTCTCTCTCATTGTCTCTCCCTCCGTCTCTCACACATTTCCCCTGCCGAACCCCCTCCACCCTCTCTCCCTTTCTCTCTCCCTCTCTCTGTTAGGCTCTACCTGACTCTCTTTTTCTTTAACCCTTCCTTACAGGGCCATTGATGAAACTTCTTTTTAGGGAGGGGGTGGGGTATTATATGTCTTTTTTTTTTTAAGAACGCGAGTTTAAGGACAACAAACACGCCACAGGAACATAGATACATTATGTGACAAAAAAAGTCCCTTGGGCTTTGATAAAACACCACTAAATCTAAAAAAATATGCGGACACAAATTATACCTTTTAAAAGAAATAAACTGTTAAAAATTATGTTTTCATTTTTTATAACCCTGAACCATCAACTATATCATAATCATTTTGATAACTCTGTTATGTTTGTTAAAATCGTTTCAGAGTCAAGTGAATCATCGACTTCGGACGGGACGACCAAACCCATGACGAGCCCTAAGACAACGATGTCAGACACATCCACATCACAAGAAACCACCACCTCCAGTAAGTAAGAGAAATGATGAAATAACCTCTTGCATTTAATCCTTTTCATTACGTGTCTAGCCACTTCCCTCCCCCTTCTATCACTCTCTCTTTCTCCCCCTCCCTCTCTCTTTCTCAATCTCTGTCTTAGTCTTTATCTGACTGTTTTGTGTCCTTTCCTATTACGGACGTTGCTAAAACATTTTTGTATAAGGGGGGTAGTGCTCGTCTTATTATAATTTTTGTTTACCTTATAACAGAAATGAGCTGTAAAAGTTTATATATTTTCCTGGAGCTAAATTGTCCACGTTTGTGCCTTTGTACATTCCTAATCACATTGATTTGTACGTGTGGGTTCATTTGTTATATTAAACGCTCAACCATTAACTTTATCATGATCAATTAGCTCAGTTATGTTTGTTTTAACGTTTCAGAGTCAACAGAATCATCAACTACGGAATCGACTACCAAGCCCAGGATGGGCCCTACGACAACGATGTCAGACACAACATCATCGCAAGAAACCTCCACCACCAGTAAGTAAGAAAAACAATGAAATGACGTCATGACTTCGATCATTGTTATAATGTGCCACCACCACTCCCTCCTCTCTCTCCCTCTCTCTGTCTCTGTCTCTGTCTCTGTCTCTCTCTCTCTCATTGTCTCTCCCTCCGTCTCTCACACATTTCCCCTGCCGAACCCCCTCCACCCTCTCTCCCTTTCTCTCTCCCTCTCTCTGTTAGGCTCTACCTGACTCTCTTTTTCTTTAACCCTTCCTTACAGGGCCATTGATGAAACTTCTTTTTAGGGAGGGGGTGGGGTATTTTATGTCTTTTTTTTTTTAAGAACGCGAGTTTAAGGACAACAAACACGCCACAGGAACATAGATACATTATGTGACAAAAAAAGTCCCTTGGGCTTTGATAAAACACCACTAAATCTAAAAAAATATGCGGACACAAATTATACCTTTTAAAAGAAATAAACTGTTAAAATTTATGTTTTAATTTTTTATAACCCTGAACCATCAACTATATCATGATCATTTTGATAACTCTGTTATGTTTGTTAAAATCGTTTCAGAGTCAAATGAATCATCGATTAGGGACGCGACCCCCAAGCCCATGACGAGCCCTACGACAACGATGTTAGACACAACGGCTTATGAAGAATCCACCAACTCCAGTAAGTAAGAGAAACAATGAAATGACCTCTTGCATTTAATCACTCTCATTATGTGTTTAGCAACTTCCCCTTCCCGTTCTATCACCTACTCCCCCTCCCCCTCCCCCTCCCTCTCTCTCTCTTTCTCTATCTCTGTCTTAGTCTTTATCGGAGTGTTTTGTGTCCTTTCCTATTAAGGGCGTTGCTAAACATTACTTTGGCTTTTCTCGTTTATCTGCACGTTTTTTTTTTTTTTGTGAGTGTATCTTTGAGAGTTAGACTAGATCCTGATCCAAGTATGTAGCATTTCCCCCTAATTCCTCACAATATTCTTGTCTAAGCATTGCTAAAAAACACTTAAAAATTCTCGTCGAATTGGAAAAATCTTCATGTTTAATTTATGATGTCGACATTGTTAGAATTGAGGAAATGGCGCTGAAGTCCGAATCTAATAGTAAACATTTAGAAGTTTGTTTACGCTATCGAGGTCTCTGTTGATAACTTGCAGGTAGCGTAGATCTAGACCTTAATCATCTCAATATTGTTATCATATGGCTCTGAATAGTCTCATTTCACAACGCCCCCTATCGTCAGAGTCCAGCAGCCTAGCATGTTAGCCTATGGACTTTTACCCCCAAAATCCTTAAAAATTCATTTTTTGTTTAAACGAAAAGCACATCCACCCTGACGTACGTTGACAATAGCTCTTTCGTTGGAACCCTCATGTCCCATTGACTTTTTAAAGTTCACCCACCGTCATTTGATCAAAATAGGTCGCCAGCTCGCCATTGCCTATATAACACATGTGCAACAAGTCGAACTTTGGACGCAATTTGCCACGCGAATGTAAGGTTTAGGTCAAGCACACGAAGGATAACAAGCATGAATTTTCATAGATCACTTCTTATTGGTTCATTATGTCCATTTCAGCCACCCCCACCGTTATTTTTCCATTTAGTACAGGCAAACATTTTGCAGAGTTAAGCCAAACATGAACATTCATGACACGCCATGGACTATTCGATCATTTTAATACAGAGGGGTGCAATTGTGCACCACATCAAAATCCCCTACTTTCAGTCAAGTATTTCATTGTATTATGTAGTTTGGTAGGTTTATTTTACTAACTGTTTAACTATTAGGTTCATGGTTTAATTATCAGATATCAATGATAGTTTAAAGATATGGAAAAGGTTCTGTAGTTTATATTTAGCAAAGCAATATCACTTTCAAAATCACTATCAAGTGTCGTCTGATCCGCCGATTGCCGTCTGCTATATACGTTTAAGTCACATTTATCTGTGGACAGTGATGTAGACAGTTTTGTAGATTTATGATTAGCCATATTTATTATTCATTAATTGTTGACACACATACATGCGAACACTCTCACTTCCCCTCCCCAACACACCATTTCCGCACACTCGGTTCACACATTATACCCAATGGCCCTGCAACAAAGTGGAACATTCTAGTTTGGTAGTGACGTCGAACTAGCTACGTTTGTGCTGGCAATGGTCCAGCGAGCGAAAATGAGACAACCGGAGCAATGTAGGAGAATTTCACGTACCTTTTTGGTGTTCTTGCTGTCAGCAAAATTAATCATGTCTTGCAATTGATCATCATCAAGAAGTTGAAATCTAGAAAGAGTTTCTTCCGCCATTTTTGCCTTGTTTGGAAACTATAAGTAGAATCTAGGCCGGATTTAGTACGATCGACATCGTACGTCTCATTAAAAAATATAAAAATTAAGCTAGCGACCAAATCGCACACACACAATGCAGTATGGTATCTGCGCTCGCTCAAACCAGATTTTAACACGTGAACCAAAGGGTATTTCAGCAAGATTGAACTATTTTCCCGGTAACTGGAATTTTGCCGGGATTTTACTGATTTACTCTAGAACTATGACATATGTTTGGCATTTTTCGTTTATTTACAGGAATGGCTAAAACCACGAGTGAGATTTATCTATGTTTAAAAGATCTGCGGATATTTGGGGGCGCCTGAACCATGTGCTAACTACGAACTGGTCGATTATCGCCGATCAAGCAGCTGCTGGATCATTGTATAATCACTATCAACATCATCATTTTGCATTGTACATGAATGTGTAAATCACATTGGTGTGTACGTAGGCGGATGTGCGTGTGTTTAAATTCATACGCATTTGGATGTTATTGTTCATCAATATTTCATCCAAATGTAAAATACACTATTCGATTTTATCTCCCCTAATTTATTAATATTTAAGTTCCATATTGTTAACATCTTTTTTTGGGGTGTGGCCCAGAGGGTAGGAGTCTTGGGTGTATGTCTCATCTTAGGTGTTTGTCTAGAGGGTAGTCATCTTGGGGGTTTGTCTAAAGGGTAGTCACCTTGGCTGTTTGTCTATTAGAAGGTAGTTATATTGACTGCATGGGCAGTGATCCTGACACGTACGTATGATTATTTCAAATATGGTCTACACTTCAGGCGCGTCGTCATATTCGGAAGTGACTGACACAAGAAATTATAATTTGGTCTGTGCGTCAATCGTTGCATAGGGGTAGATAATTGTTTTTTTTCGGGGGGAAAGGTGGAGCAAATTATTATTCAGAACCAATATTACTTCTAGCAAGCTCTTTTGAAATATTACTCTGTGTCTTTTTCTAGCCGCACCTGCATGCCTGGAAGATCCTAAAGGAGTGAACTACAGAGGAA